ACATGAGAAAGTGATTGCCTGTAGTTGAAACATAATAGCTGGGCCTCCAGCAGCCATCCTGGATCATGAGGTAGCCTTGAGCATGAGAGGCACATGTGGAGGATGGCAGACCAGGAAAACAGGCACCTGAGAGCCTACACGGGTAGTGAGGTCTCTGTACCAGCTGTGATCTGCTCACCTCTAGACTTCTTTTTAATCAGAGAATAAAATTCTAGCTTATTGAAGCCCAGGAGGGGCTTTTGTTGTTTTTGTTTTTCAATTGGGTTTTGTTCTTTGCAGCTGAACCTAATTCTAGCAGATTTGAGTGGTTCTGTGGTTTGGCACAATGCAACTCTGTCCTGCACACCAGGGGCCTCAAATGCTCGGCGGTGTTAGGTGATACCAGGCAGTGTGAGTTACAGAGGGCAGGAGAGAGGAGAGGTGGCTTGGGGACAGCACCACCTACCCTGCACACACACTCCATGAGTAAACAGGCCAGGGGCCTGCAGAGTTGGTGTTGGGGGTGCGTGTGTGCAGGGCGGGTTACAGCAAGGCAGGGAGGTTGTCGGGGACACCAAAGGAGGGGCCTCAGGCTAGGGGAGAGCTGGGAGAAGAGGGGAAATGAACATGCCCATGGAGCTGGTTGCAGAATGGAGAAGAAACCAAAAGAGGGTTCCAAAAGCAAGTGGGTACAGCTCTGGAAAAAAGCCAGTGTTGGGGGAGAGGCCAAGAACAGCAAGTGGCAAGAATTTATCAAGGTCTCTTGGGCACGTGGTTCTCTGTGGGGAGAGGCAGCGTCAGTCTAAGGGAGACCTCAGCCTGTGTCCTGTGCTTAGGCTGCAGTTGGGGTGACAGAATGTGCACATTTTTAAAATACCACGTGACACAGGATTTTGGCCGTGCCCCTGGCTACAAGGCCTGCCTTGTCTGCCCTTCACTTGCCCCCACTCGCCCCCACTCTGCCTCTCCATCTTCATCCCACTCCTAGCCTTGTGTCCTTCCAGCTCCTCAGGCTCTTCACTCAACCTAAAACAAGGAAACACACCCTGGCCTCAGGTCTCCATGAGGCTCTTCCTTCTGTCTGCAACGTCGTCCCCTGAGTTGCTTGGGGGCGCTCCAACGTCCCCCGACAACCCTTCCTCCAAGCCATTTTTGCCACTCGGTGTCATTTTATATGATTGTCATGTTGTATGTTCATATACTTAGGCTGGGCACCGATGGCTCATGCCTGTAATCCTGGCACTCTGGGAGGCCGTGGCTCAAGGATCCCTTGAGCTCAGGAGTTCAAGATCTGCATGTTCGTTTATTTGCGTTGTGTGGTCCCCCCACCAGACCATCCGCCAGGAGAGCAGGACTTCTGTCTACTGTGCTCACTGCTGGGTCCTCAGATTTTAGAAAAGTGCCTGATGTTCGATTAACATTTGCTGAGTGAATAAACAGTTTAAATGACTAAAGCTAAAGCTAATTGACTAAAGCGAGCGATATTGAAACAAGTCTAAACTTAAGTACAAAGGTGGTGAGGGAAGTTAAGTAATTAGAGTTGGGAGGATACAAAATGATCAAATTTTAGGCCTCCCGTAAACATTGCGAGCCCTGCACTCCAGTTAGGATCGGGGTTCAGTCTGGCGGGTACCTTGCTTTCCTTTAGGAACCAGTCCCCCAATAGGGCTGATGGGAACCTCCCCTCCTGCTGTGTCACTGCAGGGTCAGAGAACCCGGACCCAGGCAGCAGGTGCTCCTGGTGCAGCCCCCCATCCCCAACTGTTTGATTGTGTTGGGGGAGAATAAGAACAGAGGCTGCAGCCTGGGACCCCTGTCCCCTGCTGTCATGCCCCTGAGACATAAGATGAGAACAGGGGGAAGGTGAAGGTCCAGGGAGGGGTCCGGAGCCAGGCCTTAGGGCTGTGGGGACTGGCACTCGGGCACCAAGGAGGTTCTTGGGATGTGCACAGTTTTCCCATTCCATGTAAACGGTGTCAGGAGGACAGTGGGGGATTAACAGCTTCTTCCAGAGCCCAGATGGAAAAGTCACTTTTATTTTAGGCTTGCCATTTTCTTCCCCTGCCTATCCCTGGAAGCATCAGTTCCGTCCCAGGAGAAAGTCCTAAAGGGATGCCTCCAGACTCACAGCCTCTGCACAGAGCCCGGGTGCAGCTCTGTTAGCGCTGGCATTATAAAAGGCACGGTTCCCTGGGGCCCCCCTGGGAATCACCTAAAACGCCTGTTCTGTGCATGAAGGAACTGAGTTAGCGAGCTGGAGCCTGGCAGCTTCGTGTCTGAGTTTTCCTCTGTGTCAGCTCTCCAGAAATCCCTCATTTGGGACAAACAGCGCTCAGGAAAAGCTGAGCGCGTGGCCTACTTATAGGCAGTGTTAATTATGGGTTTTGGAGTGGTATTTTCCTGTCGTCACGTAACCAACTGTCAGGGCTGTTGATGGGGACTGATTTGTCCTGAGACCTCCGGGGCCCCTCCTCGGACACTGCTCCTGATACCTCAGCCTGGGTCATGCTGTGGTCATGCTGTGGGGAGAGAGGGGACGATGCCAGGCTCCAGGCTTGGGGCTGGTGGGGTCAGCACTACCACCCATCGAGGGGTTTCACAGCAAAAATGCACGTGTGTGGGCTGCGGGGAGGCTCGAGAGGGATGGCCGGACACAGCCCCCTTTGGGGGCTCCCAGCAAGAGGGTCCAGCTTAGCTGGGCCTCCCAGGGCCTCGCTCTGGGTCAGTTGTCTTTTCCTCCCAGAAAAGTTCATCCACCCACCCACAGATGCGTGCACGTACGTGCACAGTCCCCCAAAGGCTCTGGTAAACAGTTCTCTCTTGCGAGTGGAATCTTATTGTGTTTTGCAGACTTCATTCTTCCCACCTTGTTTGTGAAGTGGGCAAGGGGTATCATTATCGCTCTCTACCTTGTTAAGTTGCCCAAGAGGGAAAAAAAACAAACAAGAAAGTTTTTCCTCCTCCAAGAGTCTAATTACTTGTTGGGTGAGTCCCGACCCATATACATTTCCGAAGAGAAAGACACTCAATGCCTGCTGAAGAAATGTCCTTGGCTGGGTTTCAGAGACCCTCTGCTTGCCATTCCACTGTCTGCAGGCACTGCAGCCGTGCAAGACTGTTGCTGAAACTTCTCGATGACTTTAGGAAACTGTTTCTTGTAGTTGGCCTTGCAGAAGTGTCCAGCTCGCTCTAGCCTTCCCTTTTCTGTGCCCTATTCTTGCCTCTGGTCTCAACATGTCATGTTCTTTCCTGCTGCCCTGCCTCTACCATCTCTGTCCCTGTGATGGGCATCCACTTCCCTTCCCGTTACTTGTGGCATGTTCCCTGCCTTGCCCCTCCCCACACCTACTTAATTCCCCCTCCTCTGAGCAGACTCTGTGCCTCGTATTTATTTATCTGCCAGGCTCTTCTCCCTCCTAGACTGTGTGCTTCCTTAGGTCAAGATCTCCACTAGGTCACCTTTTTATCTTTTCACACCTGGGTAGTTCCTGCACATGGTGGGATGCACTGAAGTGGGTCCTTAGGATGGAACACTAACCCTCCAGGATGGTGAAGGTTCAAGCATGTGCTCCTAATGCATCCCTAAACCAGCCTCCAAGTCCTTGATCCCAATGCCTCACCCATTGTCAAATTCAACGTGTGTGTTCTTGATGCTGCCAGCCCATCTTGGGACTTGTTATCAGTTTCCCTCTGTCTTAGTCCATTTGAGCTGCTATAACAAAGTACCTTAGACTGGGTAATGCACAAATAATAAAAATTTATTATAGTTCTGGAGGCTGGGAAGTCCAAGATTGTGGTGCCAGCAGATCTGATGTCTGGTGAGGGCTCAGTCTTCGCCTCAAAGATGACACCCTGTGGCTGTGTCCTCACAAGCTTGCTCAGGCTTCTTTTATAAGGGTGCTAATCCCATTCAGGAGGTGCTCCCCCTCATGATATAATTGTCTCTCAAAATCTCCACTGCTTGATACTGTCACATTGGGGGATTAAGTCTCAATGTGTGAACCTTGTGGGGACACAGGCACTCAGAACATAGCATCCTTTTAGCTGTGTATTATTCAGATTTGCTTTGGATTCTCTTCATTCATTCATTCATTCATTCATTCTAATTCTTCTATGCACCAGCCACTTTTTTTAGGCATGGGGCATGTGGAGATGAACACAGGTGTAGGCCCTGCCCTCATCTAACAGGAAGAGACAGACAAGAAGCAAGTGCATTGATGAGTAAGATACTGTGGAGGAATGACAATGGGGTGGAGACGTAGATGCTGCCTGTCCATGGAGTGTGGGAGGTCACAACGCAGAGCACAGGGGATGGGAGAGCTTGTGCAGCCGTCTTTGGAAAAGATGCACAGAAATGCTTTTTATTTTTCTACTCTCCCCATTGTGAAAATGTCCTTAAATTGTCTAACAGAGGAAAGGACCTGAGGATGTAAGGTTTCTCCTGTTGGTTGGTGTGATCAGATTATTGTTCATGTTTTGTTAAATTGGTCGAGAGAGTCTGGTACCATAGCCCACCCTTACTGAGAGGAAATGTCCCAGGCTGTGGAAGGGGGAGGCAAGGTGTGCTCCCAGCAGGGACAGTGGACCAGACGACACCCAGATGTTGCAGAAGAGTGATGGTGAGTCAGCAGTGGGCTCCATCCTGGCCTCGGCACAGAGAGCCTACAGGTGCTGAGACTGGTGTCTTCTGAGCCTTGCAGTGACAGGGCCTCTCTTGTCGCTTAGCCATGAGCAGCTGAGCACCCTGCCCTCTGCTTGCTGTGGGTGACCAGATGGTCAGGGTGCTGTTGTCCTTGGGCCCTTGAACTGTAGTGCAGCCACACCTTGAGGACTGGATAAGGATGAATGTCCAGGTTCCCAAAGCTCCAAGTGATACTTGAAAACTCCTGGTTGCTTCATTTCTGCAGATTAACACCTATGCTGCCACAGAATGCAGAAACCGGTTACCTGGGCCAGGGGTTGTCAGAGCCTGCCCCCTCTCTCCTCCTCTAACTCTCTGCCCTCCTTTGCCCACCTGACAGAGGAAGACATGCGCCTGTGGTGCCCCTCGCTGCAGGAGGTCATGGAGGCATTTCACAGCCTGGGAGCCCACATCCCTGCTCTGTGCCCCCTGGGGCCCTTTCAGCATGGCAGCAGGTGAGCACTTCCCCTTCATCCTGCCTTTTTTCCTTTGTTTGAAAGTTGCTGGGCTAGGGCTGTGGCCCACACGGCAGCAGCGGGGAAGCACAGAACAACCACATACAACACACCTGCCTATGAATGGCATGTGAGTTGCCACGCTCCCAGCATCCAGGAGTGGGTGAGCCTGGCCGCTTTGTCTCACACCTGATTCTGCCACTTACTGACTCAGAGCCTTCCTGCTCCGCCTCTGGAGAAACCCAGACTTCCCAGCCTAGTTAGTATCTTCCTAGACACGTTCCCATCTCTTTTGTCTGTCTTCAGGCCTCTTGTTTGGCCAATTACTTAATATCAACTCATGAACAGCAGAGCACTGGTTTACATTTCCGAGATGCTGGGTTTTGTTTTGTGAGTGCCCCCTTTGTGCCCTAGATTGGGTCTGGTTGGTGGTGAACAATGATGTCAATTTGCATATGCATTGTCCCTGCCCTCTAGGAACAGAGCCACACAGCGTGTAAACAACTATTGTCAGTGGATGGTGACTAGGTCAAGGCTGTAAAAGCGTTATATATCAATAATCTTGTTCCACAAATGATAGTACATCTAACTAAGCTCCTTCTTGAGAATCCTTTGAGAAGTTGGTTTGAGAGAGTGTTTAGAACCTGAAGGGTTGTTATGTAGGACCCCCTCCCGTGCATCCTGCCCATGATCACAGGCCCAGGAGGTGCCAGGACCCTTTCCTTTGCCTTGACAGGCAGAAGTTCCTCTGCAGGGAAAGCAGAGCTTCCTTAATAACCTGTTCCATGACTATGTTTAATAATTATCTGCCAAACCAAAGCACATTTGGCTCTGCTATAAATACTCCATTCATGTGCCAGCCTGCCATGCTCCTGCCCCTCTCCCTCTCTCACTGTGAGCCCTATATCTGTTGTCATAAGCTACTTGCCTCTTCCTAACACGGAACTTCAATCACACCACCGTCTTCGATGAGTGGGGGAAAGAACTACACTCAGAAAAACAAATGCATGTCATGGGGAGGGCCTGGGGGTGCTGTGGGGTTCAGAAGAGCCAATTCTGACTGCTCTGATGAGCACCCAGTGTGTCTGTACACCTGGGAAGTGGGAGATGACCCTGGAGACTTATATCCTCCTGGGTTGTACTTCACTCTGCAAAGAGCCACTCCCTGTCCCCCTTTCCTCCCAGCTCCCCCAGGATTTGACTGTTTGTTGTCCATCCTTCAAGTTACAGGACAAATCTGTCTCCATCTCTGGGGTGGAAGGTGGGGGACTGTGGGGTGGGCATGAGAACTGTGGTCCTTTAAACACATCACCTCAAGTACTTTGGAACACAAACCCCAGCATGCAGACTTCAGCTTTCCCAGGCGTAGCTAAGCTCTGTGTGGGAGGAAGCAGAGCCATGTTGTCCCAAGCAGGGCCCAGAGAGCTGCCAGCGTCTCACACTGCATTCCCGGACGGGCCATTTTGACACCCTGCCTCCTTTCCTGGGGAAAGACCTTGGCCTGGCTGTTGACACTGCTTCCCTCAAGAGGATTCACAACTGCCCTGGAAGATCTGACTGATGGCCGCAGGGGTGAATTCCCTGCTTGAAGCTCTGTAAGAGCAGGCTGGAAGGTTTTCCTGCCTGGAGACCCCTCCCAGGTCTTCCCTGGGCTGTGTGGATGGCGAAGATGCTCTAGGAGGTTTCCTGGATTGCTGCCTGGCTGCCGCACTGGGAAGCTCTGGGGGCCATGGGGTTGGAGGACAGCTTATCCAGAGTATTCAGGAAGCACCAAGAAGGTTCTGGCATCATCCACCAAGGGGACAACATCCTTCAGCCCACAAGGGAAACCTCACGGCCAGCACTTTCTCCTCATGGTTCTCCTCATCCTCGTTCCTGGCCAAACTGAGAGGTTTGTCTCGTGCCAGCTGGTTCCATGTCGGGCATCTCTTTTCTGTTAACTTCTAGGGATGGTTTCATCAAGGGCTCCCCTGGCAGAACAGATGCCTCTGGGACTCCTCTGGGGACACCCACAGAGCTTCGTACTAACTGAGGCAGGAACCGAGGGGCTGGGATGTCTGTGTGTGGCCCCATGACTGGGCTGTCCAGCTGCTATGAGAAAGACAAGTCTTTCACCTTTTGTTCCTCATCTCAGATTTTCTGCAAAGCCATCGCCATCTCCCATCTACTGCTTTAAGATTTCCTTTCAAAAACGTACAGTCCTTCTGCAGCAGATCATCTAGTGTCCACCTTGTTGAAAACAGAATGGCTCTGCTCAGTGATAAGGCTGGGGAGGGGAACATGGGAGGACATCGAGTGTGGAAGGGAGGAGAGGAGGGACCAGAGTGTGCGTGTGAAGAAGGAGGAAGCCAGAAGAGGGGTGTCAGCAACCTCAGCAGGGGAAGGGGATGAGCCGTGGCAGGCGCTCCCTCCGGTCTCACCTGGGAACACAGGGAAGGTCCTTAAGTAGCTGTGGCTGCTCCTGCAAGGCTGCTTCTCCATACAAAGGCCAGCTGAAGAGCCTGCTCAGACACCCAGGCCTGGCCACTGAAGACCTGCAGCCTAGAGGTGCTGCCTGGTGTGTAAAGCCTTTGTGTACTTGGTTCTCCAAAGAGCAGCCCCTTGCAGAGGTCAAATGGGTAAATAAATGACAATTAATACATTGATAGGGTACCCTATTAAGTGTGGAGGCGATTGGTAACTGGCCATCTTGGAACAGTGTATTTCAATCCAGGTAAAATTCACATGTCTCCCCTCTCCCATCAGCTCAGCATCAATTCCTTTCCCTTGCATTGAGCTGAGATGGCAGATGAGCTTTGGTTTAGCAGTGCAGGCGTGTGGGACAGCACCCTGCCAACTGCCAGCACACTGCCAGCATGCTGGTGCCCCAGCCACTGGGCACCTTCAGATGTCTCTCGGTTATAGTGGTCATGGTGTGAAGACACTTTGTTTACTATTTTCCCTCTGAGGACATGGGAATGCTATATGCATGGTCACTTTATTATTCAACTTTTGGGGAAAGAAGAAGTAGAAACCCAGGTATAGGTCAGTGATGTGCCCCTCGTGAAATTACTTAATGAGTGTAGAGCAGCACGACTGAGACCCAAGTACCAGCTCTTAGATGCTGGCCACACACAGGCTAGGAGCCCCAATTAGCATAGGCAGCTGGAGTGGGGAACAGGGATGGTACCAATGAGGCCACTCTGCTTGTGGAGTCCAGTGGTGGGGCCCTCATCTCACCTGCTGAGTCCAGGAGGGGAGCAGGAATGACAGGCTGTGACTTCCCTGTAATGTGCTGCGTGGCCTCTTGCTGGGGGCAGTGGTGGAGTCCTGGGGATCAGCTGATGCTGTCTCAGAGTAGCAGTCCCAGAGGCCAGCTCTTCAGTCAAGTGAGTCCTTAGGCAAGGAACAGAGGACCCCCATTGCATTGCCTGTCAGCCTGCTGTTCCCAAGGTGCTGTTCCCGAGGAGAAGCAGGTGGAAACCGTGGAGCTCACACCAGGAGGCCATCCACCCTCTCACTTGGGAGGGCTGACATTCCTTCCCACGGAGGAGAGGGCCCTTGTCACAGCCACACTGCCCCTCCGCAGCTCCAGGAAGACGTGTTACCATCTCACACTTTCTGTACTCCTCCCTTTCTGAAAGCCCATTTCTCTTCAGACTTCCGGAGTTGACTCTGGCTGCCCTGCCCTTTGGTAAATGTAAAAGCATGCCCACCTACGCTCGTGTATTTGGTGCACGCTCGCAGGCTGCTACAAACCAGGACCCCCCCTGACATACTGGCTCATACAGGCCCAGTGTGTGCCCACATGTGCAAATGCCTCACCCATTATCCAGCCCTAATAAATGCCACAATCTGGAAGGAGGGCTGAGCCCAGACCCCTACACCAACGTTGGTTTGTTGGTTGGTGCCAACTTCCCACTGCCTAGGAGACGGAGCTCTCCTCCTTTCCCTCTGAGCGGCAGCACCAGTGCCAGGGAGTAAAGAAAAGCAGAGACTTCACGCTCTTCCCGTGCCCATGGCAGGGTGGTCACCTGGGAGCCCATTGTCGTCATCAGCACTAACTGCGTTGACTGCGAGCCTGCTGTTCCCAGGAACACTAAGCGAGCTCAAGAGAGCTGAGCAATAATTGAGACAGCAAAAGGGAGCCTCATGGTAAGCTCGCCCAACATATCTGAAATCAGCAGTGCACATTCACCGGAGAGTGGACAATGTAGCGAGGGGGGCCTGGGAAGCTGCAGGCCCCCCTCGCTACATTGGTGGTGGGACTGTGCCGTCTACTACGGTGAGCCTCTTGCCACCCTGAGTGTGGCTCTAGTCTTTATGGGGGGTTGTTTTTGTACACAGCCCTGGCCTCTAACCTCATCCGGGGCTTAGCCAGATACATGTCATCGCTGGGAAAACTGGCCACACTGGGCTTGTCAGAAGACAACACTCAGCTCAAGGCAACACTTTTGGAGGGGGGTTTGCAAGGAACCGCTTTCATTCTGACTTTCACCTTGCTGACTTCAGAAAGTAATCCCCGCGTCAGTTAGCACATGCTATGCCTTGCAGTGCACATAGACTCCACCATCGAGTGGACAGAGAAGACTCTTTTGAGGAAGACCCTTTGGGGGTACTGGAGGTATGATTTTCTGGTTTCCAAGCCCCAGAAAATTGAAGCTGGAGGCCTTCACAGAAATGGCAGCAGACAGGAGCCACCCCCAAAGGGCCCATATGGATGCCCACCTCCTGGTGTTCACACCCCGTGGCACCCCTCCCACACCAAGTCAGGCCAGCCTGTGTGACCAGTAGGAATCAGTAGAAGAGATGGGATGTCACCCCAAGATTAGGTTATAAAAGGCTGCAGCTCTGTCTCCCCCATATATTCTGCCTCCTGGCCGCCCAGATAGCTAGCTTTAGGGAAACCAGCTGCCATGTCACAAAACCTCACCTATGGTGAGGCCCATGTAGCAAGGAACTGGGGCCTGCTGCTCAGTGACCATGCGAGTTAGCTTGGAGGCAGGTCCTGCAGCCTGGTCAAGCTGAGACGGTTGCAGCCCTGACCAATATCTCAAGGACAACCTTCTGAGACCCTGAGCCGGAACCACCCCACTTAGCTGCCCCCACATACTTGGCTCCAGAAACTGCATGAGATACCAAATGGTGTTTTTGAGCCACAAGGTTTTGTAATTTGTTATGCTGCAGTAGATGACCAATACACAGGGCAGCCATGTCCTTGCTGAATGAGTCATCTGAGTTCTCTGCACCTGAGCAAGCAGAGGCCTCCTTCCGCCTCAGTTCTCCCCTTGTGCCCTCCTCCTATTTCATTGTCATCTCCGTTGTCTTACCCTAGAATGCTTAGAAGTGAGGCTGGCCTTAGCGGAAATGAGCAGCAGGACACTCCCCAGGAGGCTGCCTTGGACATTAGTCTGAGCTACATCTATAAGGTGAGTCAGGCTGCCTGCCTCTCCCTGGAGCGCTCTTGGCTTGAAATCCAGACCCATTCAGCAGTTTCATTCAGTGTCATCGAGCATCTGTGGTGAGCTCAGCACCATCGTGGGCACTGTGCTGGCTGCAAGGCCTGACGGATGCTGCAGAAAGCACACCCTCCGCGTGCCTGTGCCTGTGCCTGCCACCGGGGACCCCAGAGGGGCCTCGAATCCAGGCCTCACTGCTTGTTTTCTCAGCTCCTACCCAGTTTGGTCAAGGGGCTGGCGGTGCCGACTGTCTCCCAGGGAGACGGTCCTTAAAATCCTCTCCCTGACCCCTCACCACATGGCCAACACTGCCCTCATTTTCTCCCTCTCTGTCCAGTTCCTCGCACTGTGTGCCCTGGCCCAGCCGGGGGCCTACACTGACGGGAGCCTCGTGGGCCTGATTGAGCTGCTGTGTCGTGCAGGCCTGGATGTGGGGCTCCGACTGCTGCCTAAGGCCGACCTCCAGCAGCTCCTGCTCCTGCTCCTGGAGAACATCCGGGAGTGGCCGGGGAAGGTACTGCGTACCCTGAGCCTGACCCATGCACTGGGGACTGAGGCGGCCTCTGAGTGTCCTGGATGGGGACAGCACTGCTCAGAGGTCATCAGAATGTGCCTGGCCTTTGTGACTGTCCCCATTGCTCCCTGAGCGGGCTGGGTGGCGAGGTCGGAGTGGAAGGCAGCCTACCCGGTGCCTTCTTCTCTGCAGCTCCAGCAGCTGTGCCGCACCCTGAGCCAGGCGTCAGACCACCACCACAACCTGCTGGCACTCGTGCAGCTCTTCCTGGACGTGACCTCCCGCAGCAGGTGGGTGCCGCTCCACCTCTTCCCTCAACACTCTCCCCATGGGTCTGCCTGGATCCAGGATCCTCCCCAGCAGCCCCAACAAACCTCCCGCCCAACTTCTAAACCCCAGGGAGGAAGAACTAAAAATACAACTTACTAATGAGTTCTTTAGAAATGAAAAAAAGCCTAATTTTCTTAACATGGTCTTATTAGCAAAACAATTGCCTTGTACAATTAGCTCCTGCCTGCAGTGCCCCGCCCTCCTTTCTCTGGGGCTCCCTCCCCAGTCTGGCTGCTGTTCCTTCTTGCCTTCAGTCCTCAGCTGAATTACATCCCCTGATCACTCGCCTCCCGCCCCTCCCAAACTCTCAATCCATCGTTCTGTTTTACTGTGTGCACAGCGTCTATCTCTGCAAGAAATTATCTTACTCTTTGTATCCTTGTTTATGGCTGCCTCTCCTTCAAGTCATCTGCACCAGAGCAGGTCTCTGATCAGGGGCACTGCCATATTGCCCCAGATCTAGAACAGTGCCTGGCATGCTGTGGGCACTTTATAAAGATAAGATGCATTGGCTGGATCTGGCCCTGTCTCTCCTCATCTCTCCACCTTCCTTCTCCCACTATCCTTTCCTCTTTCTGGGCCTGTCCCTTTGCAGCTCCTCTGTCTGGCACGATGCTCCTTCTCAGCCCCAGCCTTCAGCAGGGACCTCTGCAGCCACCTTCCACTGGGCCCCTATTCCCCTGGACTCTCTGGAGGTGGCCTCTGGGAGCAGGCTTGGAGTTTGAATTCCCCTCACAGCCCCAGGGCCCAGCCACATAAGAGCTTTGCTCACTGACCAAAGGAGTAAATCAGGTCCAGCCACCCTGGGCTCAACTTCAATCCTGAGATGGGGAGCTCCATGTCTTTCCCGTGAATCTGGTTGGAAGAGAGCCTGCCTTTCCACAGTCCTGAGAGTGAAGATTTTACTCTGTATTTGAAAGAACTGGGTTTCTGGTTAGCTCTGTCCCAGGCCTCCAGGGGTCTCAGTGGTTGTGGCCTTCATTCAGCTCAGACACCTCAGATTTCTTTCCACGTGATCTGGAGAGGCTAACCCCTGCCTCATGGTACCCTGGCGTCCCACAGACCACTCACCCACTCCCTTGGCCAGGCTGGAAGTTGCAGTCCTAGAGGTTTCTCCCATCCTTGCCTTGTTATTATCCCTTTCATCCCTAAATCTTGTCCCTTCTGCCTTCTGAATCCTAAATCCTTACTTATGGCTACCTCTCCATGTCAAGTTGGGTCACTTCTAATCAGTCATCTCCTTCCCTCCCTGTCCTGCTCTCTCACCAAATCCCCTGGAGGATGGTAGACACATTCTGTCTCTTCCTCCCGCACCCCAAAGTCTATCCGCCTTGCCTTGCTCCCCCTTGCCTGCAGGATCGGGTCTAGACACCTTAGTCTGACCCCCAAGGCTATGTCATCCAGCCTAATTTCCCATTTGCTCCAGCAAGGCCATGTTGTTTGTAGTTGTTTATCACACACACACACACATACACACGATGAACCTCATTCTTTTTCATAGCTGCATAATATTCCCTAGTATGTGTGCAACCAGTCCTCTAACTCTGGACGTTCATCCAATGACCATCCAGGTATCTGAGCTTTGGGCATCTGTGCAAGTATTCCTGTGAGATGAATTCTTTAATGCAAACTTGCAGTCTTAACGTATATACATTTAAAATTTGGCCTCCATTTCAGCTAAAAAAGCTGAACCTATTAATAATACCACCAAATGGATATGAAAATGCCTGTTTTTCCACATTTTCATTAATACTACATATTCTCAGTTTTCTTTTTAAGTTTTAGTCAATCTGGTGAGTGGAAAATGTCTTGTGGTTCTAATTTTCCCAATTGCCAGTGAAATTGAGTTTCTTTTCATGTTTATTGGTCTTTTGTGTTTCTCTTACTATAGATTATCTTTTGATATTTCTTACCTACTTTTCTATCAGATAATTTATCTGATTAACTATATTGATCTACATGTTGCTTATTATATACGTCACAATATATTTTCTCCTAAGGTTGTAAATTGTCCTTTTTAAATCTTTCTGTGTTGTGTCTTTCAGTGAGCTAGAATTTATTTTGGTTTTATTTTTTACTTTTTCAATAGATTTCAAATTTCAGAATAGATTTAGACTTATAGGAAAGTTTCATGGATAATACAGAGTTTCGATTGGGATTTTTGTGTAATTGAAACTTTCTGTCTTGAATAGGAAGGCCTTCCCCACCCCAAGACCATAAAAATAGCATGTTCTATTTTCTTTTGGTACTTACATAACTATGTTTCTATCAGCTCGTAATACCATCTGTAATCTATTTTTCCTAGGTATGAGACAAGGATCTAACTTGATATTTTTCTACCTCAAAAAGGCCAGTGGACCCAATACCAGTGTTTTTGTTTTAGTATTAAATAGTTCATCCTTTTGCAACAGATTTGAAGCTGTCTTCTTCATATCCTAAGTATATGACTTTGCTGGTTCATCTGCTATCCATGTTAAACTGATTTCAGAAATCAGTGTCTTTTGCAGGGTCTGTTTGTAGCTGCAGGGCCTGTGGTAAGTGCCCATTAAATGCCGAGGAGTGAATGAAACCTACTGCCCTTCCCCTGGCTTTCAGACAGACACTTCGACGGGATAGTACCTTGTGCTAAGAGCTTTGCTAGGGAAGAGGGTTCCTTGTCGTAATCAGTGTTATTTCTTATATATTTTTATTTATTTCTTTTTCTAAATAGATAGAGCATTCAAATAGTATAAAGTTCAAAAGGTGCCAAGGAGTGGATATTGCAAACGGGCCGCTGGCCCTGTGCCAGAGCCACCTGGCTGGTCCCCAGCCTTTGTATGCATGAGTGTGTGCGTGCATGTTCTCCCACGCCTTCTTTTTACTTCAAGGTATATTTTGGGAGTCGTTCCAAATTGGGTGGTAAAAGTCTCTAATTCTTTTTTCCAACTGTGCTGTATTCACTGTGGGTCTTTAGTTAGCCGCTGCCCCACGGTGCTGCCTGTGGCGGTGGTGGAGAGGCAGGCTGGCTGCAAGCTCTGTCCCTGCTGATGGCAGCCCCACTGGGCTCAGTGCCCAGACTGACCCCAGGAGGAAGGGCGGATTGTTGCACAGGGCCTGTCACACTCCTGGTCTGCTCGACTGACTGGTTAAGCACAAAGCAAGAACCCCCACTGACAATTGCACATTCACCACCACCACCACCGCTTGCTGATCAAGGCTTCATGGAATTTGCTGCAAATTTAAGATTTGAGCTTCACCACGAAAAATGAAAGTAAATACTAGGGCAAACCACCTGAAATGGGGCCAATGGGATGAGGAAGTCCTTGGAGGGAAGCCTGCCTTGGGAAGGTGGCCTTGCTGGGGTAGCTCTGGGGAGCTGCTGGGAAGGGCAGCTCCCATCCTAGCTCCTGTTGTGCAGCCTCTCCACGCAGGAGCCCTGCCAGGAGGAAGAGGGAGGCTGCTCGCCCTCCACCAAAAGCTGATGTTCCCAGGCCCTGGGGACCTGCCTCCTTCACCATCTGTGGCTGTTTATTAAACATCCTGTGCATGCTGCTTCAGAGTAGAAGGGACGATGAAACCAGCTTATGCAGACTGCCTGGTCAGACGGAGGAGTAGACCAAGGCTTCCAAAAACGGTTCACAAGACTGGCCCTTTCCTGAATTATGTCGCGGTAAAAAGAAAAAAAAAAAGACTGGCCCTGACACTGACGTAGAGTCCCTCACCCCGCAGATCGGCATGGATCTGAAAGGACAGTGCTGCCAGGGTTGGCAGGGTGTGAGGAAGAGGCATATGCTTCTCTGCTCACGAGGCGCCTGCCCGCAATCGCTCTGGAGGCCAGTTTGGCAAAACCAAGCAAATAACTGACTGTGCAAACCCTTCCACAAACAATTTAACCTGAGGGTACTAGATTGTGAGCAAAGATTAATTAACAAGGATGTTTAGCATAGTGATGTTCATAATAGTCAAGAATTGGAAGCAGCCTCAACCCCATGATAAATTAAGTTCTGCCCATACTATGGAATATTTAATAGTACTTAAATTGACATCACAGAAGGAAAAGTGAATGAAATAATGCTCAATGAAAAAAGACTGGTGGGGTTCAGTGGCTCACACCTGTAATTCTAGCACTCTGGGGGGCCGAGGCAGGAGGATTGCTCAAGGTCAGGAGTTTGAGACCAGCCTGAGCAAGAGCAAGACCCCGTCTCTACTAAAAATAGAAATAAATTAATTGGCCACCTAAAAATATATAGAAAAAAAATTAGCCGGGCATGGTGGTGCATGCCTATAGTCCCAGCCACTTGGGCGGGTGAGGCAGGAGGATTGCTTGAGCCCAGGAGTTTGAGGTTGCTGAGAGCTAAGCTGATGCCACGGCACTCTAGCCCGGGCAACAGAGTAAGACTCTGTCTCAAGAAAAAAAAAAAGAAAAGAAAAGAAAAAGAAAAAAAGACTTTAAAACCATATGTAAAGTGTGATGCCAGTTTTGTCTGAGGGAAAAAGAAAGGGTAAGTTTGCTGGATATGGTGGCTCACACCTATAATCCTAGCACTTTGGGAGGCTAAGGCCAGAGGATTGCTTGAAGTCAGGAGTTGGAGACCAACCTGACCAACAAACATAGCAACACTGCATCTCTACAGAAAATTTTCTTCTTAAAGATTAAGCAGGCATGGGGGCACACTCCTATAGTCCTAGCTACTTGGGAGGGTGAGGCAGAAGAATCACTTGAGCCCAGGAATTTGAAGTTGCAGTGCTCTATGGTGACACTACTGTGTTGTAGCCCAGGCAACAGAGCAAGACCCTGTCTCAAATAACAAAAATATAATCTGTGGGTGTTGAGATCAATACAAGTGAATTGACTATCTGTGGGCTTGTTTTTCCTTTCTAAATACCCTATTGGCCTCCTAGCTTCGGCTCTCACCCTTACAGCCAGTTCTTACCATGTAGTGAGAACCAATTTTATTTACCAAATATTTGCTGAGCACCC